GCTGTCATCACTTTGTCCTAAGCACAGGCACTCCATATTCTGAGATGTACTAACCAGATGCAYTTTAGTGCATTTAAGAGAAAAAAAAAAACTTTTACAGTGCATGTGCCTAAAGATGAAAAGATAATCTCTTTAGCTGCATAAATCCGTTACTGTTCCATTTAAAGATCAAAAAGAAYTCAAGTATTAAACCTTTTTCTATTTCAGATACTAAGAACATGATTTCTTTCAATTAAGGCCTGGCAGATGTGGTTAATGGAACAGAGCTGTATTTGCTATATACCTGCTGCTGCACCAAATGACACATTAATCACCTTCCCTGCACTTCTTAGTGACTTCTGCCCTCCAGACTGAATTATGCTGCTCATGGTTCAGCCAAGTTGCCTCTCTCACATGTGGTTTTCCGTTCAGATTATCCTGTACCTCCAGAATTACTTGTATTGCAATATAAAGAGAGGTTTAAAATGTCACAGGGATTTATCTGCACAGGGAAAAAGCTGGATTGGGTTGTGTCTCCATCTGATTTGGGAAAGGAAGGGCTCTAAGAATGTTTAAATGTCCACTGCAAGTCCAGGGTGGTGCAATGGCACAAAGGGACAGGACGGGAGAGGGCAAATGATGCTGGTCAAAAAAAAAAACCAGGGCTGAGATGACACTGCTTGGGGAAAACACTCCTGAACTCCTCCATGAAAAGACCTAAAAGCCTTTCCAAAATGAGCAGTGGCCACACACCAGGCTCATGGTGATTCACTGCGTCCCAAACACCAAAGAGCAGCTCCAAGTCTGACTGCACAAAGCCCTGCTGAACACACACAGCTAAGGAAAAAGGGAGGGAAAATGGGGAAGGAACAGGAAAACAATTTGAATGGCTGAAAAAATAAATAGAATCCTAAAAAAAAGCTTTCACAAATTAAGATAAGGTTCAAGGTAACAGGCAAGATGAAGCTGAAATCCATAACCTCCTTAATAACTGCCCAAGGGAAAACGAGTTCTCACACACACCCCTCAGAACAAAACTGTCTCCTTGAAATCCACTGCAGCCACGGCTGTGTTCACACAGCCTCCTGGATAACCACTCCCTAAACCAGACCATGTTTAATGCAAAAGCCAGAAGGTTCACTCTGCAAATGTCAATGTCATATTGGRCTAAATACACTTGAGTACTTCGGCTGAAAGCTGTTGTTGCCTCCCAGTGACAGGTACAGATTTTGACTGGTTACTCTGGGAAGGATGCTCARTTTTCACATCTTGCCACTGCACAAGCATGCAACACCATAAGGCAGAAAGCCCAGCTGGGTTAGCACTTCCAGAACAATCCTGATGTTTGGAGACTGCAGTATTTTCAGGGCTGCCACATCCAGCTTTATTACTGTACCAACACAGTGCTTTGCATGTAACTCATGCTTTGGAGATGACTGATGCTGCAGTTCTCTTCTTCAACAAGGGACAACATTTGTTCTAAAACACTGTCATTTATACCAAAGTAATCTTAAAAACAAGTAAGAACAGGCTGTCACTCAATATGCAAATAACTGAATGCTGAAACGTGACTTTTATGTGAAATTTAAGCGCTTAGCCACAATCACTGATTTCTGTCAAGCTCAGCCATAAAATAAGATAAACCCTGTGTGGTGTGCACCCTTTCCTCTGTGCACACAGCCAGTCCCAAGTACACCACAAGATGTTTCTTTTAAATGACATTCAGCAATTAAGTCACAGCCTCCTGCACACAGTAAGCTTCAAATGTCTTGAATAATTTTAAAATTTCCATTGCCGCAAAGGGYGAAAAGGTAAAAATCCTACTATGGCTGACATTAAGGGAAAGGCTGACAAATCCATGATATCAGTTTGCTCCAGAAGTACATAAATGCAAACAATTAGTTTGTTTTAGAGGTACTCTTTTACAGGTGTTTCCTAGATAAGTTATAGGAGCTTTGCAGAAAAGGACCTGGGAGACCTTGGGCACAAACTGAAGCACAGGAAATGMTGTTTAAACAGGGTTTTTTTTAATTACTTGTTTTTTTAAACTAAGTCACTGACAGAATGACTGAACGGCAGAACAGGTTCTCCAGGGACATTATGGAATCTTCATCCTTGGAGATTATCAAAATTTGAGTGAATAAATATGATCTGGAGAAACCTGCTGTAGCTGAGCACAAGGGTTGGATCAGATGATCTCCAGATGTCCTTTCCAAACTCAACCATTTGTGATCCTGTACCTGTTGCAGTCCTACCTGCCCCTGTAAGAGACTTCTCCTCCAAAACAAAGGGTTTGCCTTCTGCCTTTCACCAGGAGCATTTGATGTTCCACTGCTGTGCTACCAAACACCAGGTGAAGAGAAAAGAACATTCTGACAAACATCCTGCAATGGGCTGTGCTATCCTCTGTTCCTCCAGCTTAAGGCTGATCATTTATTAATGAGARACAGAGGACAGCTTTACATCTGTTCATGCAGACACAGAGACAGCTTTTACAGCACAGGCGTCCACAGGCTGCAAGAATTAGGTGGAGGCCAACAATTCATTTTGTACAAGACAGACACTAGAGCTGAACAGCTCCATTTCTCACCACAGCAATTCAGGCTGCAGGTCCAGGGACTGAAGCAGACCCTGAAGAACCATGAACTGCCTGCCTGTTACTCGCTGCCTGCCATCAATAGTGAAATGTCATCAGAGCTGGTAGAAAAACCTGCAGGGTTACAAACCGACCTGCAATTCCACTTCTCCTCCTCCCATTTCTGGGACAGAAGAGAAACAAATTCCCACTCAGCAGCATGGTAATTAGATATTCCAAAAGCAAACAAATTTCACATGACAGTCCCCAGGAGTAAACTGATACACATGGAGAAACCAGTTTAGTTTACTTAGGGCCATTCTGGTAACAACAGGCTCTGAGGGTTGTAATTAGTTCCCTGCAAGCCAGCATATGAAAAGGCTTCATTTAACTGAGCTCAGACCTAAAGAATARCTAYAGAAATTAAAAGTGAAGCCACAAAYTCACACAGGACTGCYACAGCTARGAGTTTTTACRATCAGGAATTCTAGAGTGGTAATTCACATGCATTGCATTCTGATTTCTGCTTATCCAGAAGGGCAAGCAYTATTTTGGAGCACCCTGCACCAGCTGAGGTTCATCAAACCCATGGAGGTCAATGTGTGGCTCTCCAACAGTTTTGCTGAACCATGCAGGAAGAAGCAGCAACCCTGGGCAGGGTAATTCTTGCTCTCCAACAACACTTCATTGAATTAGTGTCTCTCTTTTCAATATAACCTGTATTCTTCTGCACAGAAAACCCCTGACTGTTTTGAACTGGGGAGGAAGTTCTTACATCACATCTCAACTAAGTTTGTAGGGGGAAAAAAAAAGGCATTATAGCAGTCTTAATGCAGTGTTACACTGACAGCAGAGGCTGCCAACAGAGAAAGCAAAACCAGCCCTGCAATATCTCCTCTGTTGGGACCAAGGGCACGTGATGGAAAGCAGCTCCTTTTAATCCAAGCCTACCAAGGGAATCCCCAGAGAGGAAGACTGAAGTGTCAGGGAAGAGCTGCTGGAGGTGACAACATCATCTGCACCTCAAGGCAAAGGGGATGGAGCCACCACACCGACTGACCCCGCTGACCAGGGGCCTTTCCCACAGCAATCTGGCTGAAYCCAGCACAAAATCTGGGTGAGGTAAGGCTCTCGACTTTTTTTAGATTTGGACCATTTGTATTATACTGCAGGCATACAAAAAAAAATTAAAAATTCCAGACAGCAAGTTGTTCCAGCACGTTTTGACTTTCCAAGTACAAAGCAAAGGAAACATTTAAAAAACATGACTCGTAAAGCTTTCGCTGCTCCCTGTTAAGATTTGCTGTCATCGGGACAGCATTTTTTGGATGAAAAATGTTTATTGCTAAAGGTCACAGAGTTGTCTCTTTCAAACAAATTAAGAAATAAATGGCTGCTGACACTTGCAGATGATGATTCATCTGTCCTGGAGCTCCAATAATGCAATGCCACAGCTGCCCCTCAGGTTTGCTGCAGACCACAGAAGCCACCAACTAACCCAGAAATCTGTCTTCACTCTACTGTCACTTTGTTAGCCAACTCCTCAGCCCTCTTCGTAGACACACCAAAAATTTCCTTGCTCTCAAGCTTAAAACCAGATGAAAAACATATGAAAATAACATCTGTCAGGAAAAACACTGCTTGCAGTAGCCAGGTTTCCACATTTACTRTTTCTATTATTACCAAAATCCTCTTTATTTCATGTGCAGCAAAGATTCTCCATCTATGAGACACAGGGGTGAGAGAAGCTGGTGGATCAGCACCAGTATCACCATTCCCAAAAAGCAGTGAAATAGCAGAGCAAGGGAGAAACCTCAGCAGCACCTCAAGGGCAGCTGGCAAAACTCAGCATATTTAACTCCAGAACAGGTCAGCACACAAGAAATGCTGGCAAAAGAAAAAGAGAGCGTTTCCTTGCCAGGGAAGGTCAAGCTGTTGAAGATTATTCTTTAAAAGAGTTATTAAAGTTCTAGAGGTCTGTTTAGACAACCCTTGAGTGAAAGGCCAGCGTGAGGTWCAGCAGAGATCTCCAACGTTTTATCCTGTCAGAGTAACTTCCCGATAAAAAAAAAWTAATAGGAGATTTTTATTGAGTGATTATCCTTTCCATCTCTGGCTTTTCACTGGAGTTTWTGGCGACTATTTACTGATCTCTTCRGGGAAGGAGATGACATTTACKGTYCATACTGTGCCCCTCTGATCTCAAACGTGGCCTCTGCTGTCACTATGCCCAACAGTGATTCTGTAATTTTAAAAGGAAGATGCTGCCACAAATTCATGGGACCACTATTTGAAACAGAAGCACAGATTTTTTTTCAGACAATACAGAATATTTTGCAGACAATACAGAATATTTTGCAGACAACGCAGAGGACCAAGGTCATTGTACACAGATTTGCAAGTGCATTGATCACACGGTGGGGATGTGACACACAAACCCTCGTACCTCTGTCACTAAAATCATCCACCAGCACGATCTCTGCCACCAGCTCGGGAGGGGAGCGGTTCAGGACGCTGTGCACCGTCCGCAGGAGGGASGACCATCCTTCGTTGTGGAAGGGGATTATCACACTGGTGTTTGGGAGCTTCTCCAGGTACAGCTTGTTCCTGCAGCTGGACACACACACAGAGCAAGTCAAAAGGTGCTGCCAAAACACACCAGCACTTCTGTATTAATGACCAGCAAGCGACTTAGTTCATTCTTTACTCCTCAAAATGATGCAAAGCGCATTAATTATCTTAATTTTGAAACAGGAGTAATGAACCCTGCCTTGTAGGGTTGGTTTCAAGGTAGTTTGGTAAGGAAAACCCTGCAGTGTGAAGYGCAGTGTTTATTTTCCTGCAGGTGTGGCCATAAGTGGACTCTGTACCTTGTCAAACAGGGAACATCTAAGGCCCCATAATAACCTACTGTGGTTAAACACCACCCCATAGCTGTTCAGTAGGGATCAGAAATCTATTCCATTCCTGGAGCCCCCTGTGTCCAGAGCAGAGCAGGAGTGGCAGTGTGAGTGGGGGTGTGTGGAGGGCACAGTGACAGTGCCAGCAGSACAAGCTGCCCTGTGTCCAGTCTGCCCCTTGCACAGCCACCAAGCTCCTGTGCAGGCTCTGCCCTGCCAGGCCCCTGGGAGGCTGTCCCTATGTGCACAATTCCATGCACTCAGCAATTCCCTCCCCCTGGCCCCCGGAAGGGCAGGCAGGAATGAAAGCRGCTCTGGCAGCGGCAGCTTTTTCCTGGTACCTTTCCCAGGGAAAGGATGCACCTATGTCACACAAGCTCAATACATCTGTGGCCACAGGAAGCTCCTCTGGTGCCTGTGTGAGAGGACAGTAACTTATTCTGGGTGTAATGAATTGTCCTGGGGGKCTGCCAAGAGCCTGCAGGCTGGGGYTGCAATGCACAGATGAAAGATGSAAAGTGAAGCTGCAGGGATTGCTCTCATCCAGCCATCCTCACCTTCTCCCAACAGCTACTAGCTACACTTCTATTCCAAATATGAACCAAAAGCCCTTGAATCTTTTCTAACTCTTCCTAAATGTGAATTCTCATTTTCTGACTAACTTTAACAAGTGGGAAACTTTAGCTATTAAGTTTAACCATTAAGCGTGGAGAGAAATTGCTTCCCTCCAGCTACTGTATCTACAATTGCTTTACAAGACCTGCAAAATTAGTATTTAATATTAAAAACCCTAGAGGCACTTAAAGAAAATGTTATCAGGGGAAGACATGACTGTTGGAACAAACAATTGTATGTGTGCACCAGGCAGATCCAGCACAGCTCCTCGGGTCCCACAATTAACAGAAAGCAGAGGTGACACATTATTTGCTATATAAAARTCCACACAAGCCATCCCACACATCTTTGTCCTTTCCCCCCAGGGAGAAGCCCAGCTGTGGCCCCAAAGCTCAGGGCAGGACAGATGATGCATTTTTCCCCAGCACACCTTCCCCTCACACTCACTGCTGTCTGTGGGCACATCTCCAGAGTCTCTGTCACCTCACTGAATGTAAGAGGCTCTAAAACACTGTTCCCTTCGTTCTGGAATACCCTTTATGGCCTTGTGACTTTATGACTAGGGCTCAGCCTAACTTTGTAATAAATTGCCCTCATCAACCTCCCAACTAACACAAACCATACCATTATGGTGTATCTTTTTTTAATGGGCACAGCGAATGCACAGCAGCTCTTTCAGTCGTGAATTCCTTTACTGCATTTCCCCACTATGGGTGACGCTGCACTCTGCCCAGCTAATTCTAGCATTCCTTAGGCACATGTTTATCCTCTTCTCCAGGCCCCCAAAATCACAACTTGCTACACTGGGGGAAAGGATGTGTCAAGCAACAAGCAAACCACTGCAGCAGCATCATTATTCACAGCTTAAGTCGCTGGTGTCCCACACACTTCACTTATTAATTTTATCTGGGGCTGGAGTTCAAAAGTTTCACATTTTAAAGAAGTTTAAATAGCAGAACACCGAGTCAGCAATTTCAGGAAACACTGGGGCATGTGAGGTAACACATTAAACCCTCAGATAACAAAATATTGGCATTATCTGATGTTTAAGTTCCCAGAGCCCAAGGCAGCCCCTGTAAATGAAGGCCAGGTGGAATTYAGATTAGTAAACTCAAACTGTATTTCCTAGAACTTGAGCATGGGCTGATCCACAAACATCTTCAGTTATCTGATTTATCCCAATGTTTAAACATTTCAGCTGCATGCCTAAAATATTTATGGAGCTACACTCACTGCTTTGTTTTATGTGTGTATAYTGAGAAAGGGTGTCAAGCCAGGGTATTTGATTAGTTTGCTGTGACAGCTGAAGAGGTAATATCTCAACTGTGCAGTTAACAAATTATAAAACCTGACTTCTGGAACTTGTATCTCATGAATAAAGTAGATGTTGAATTCAGATTTASTAAATTGTGATAAACACAGCTTTACAAAAGCAGCTTAGATTCAAATGTCTGACAATGCTTTCAGATTAAAAACCTCACAAACTATTTAAAAACCTCTCAGCTTTGTATAAACRAGGGTTTATACACTTTTTAAAGCACTTTTGCTACTGAAAAACTTCTGGCTCRAACAAAATCCAGTTCAACACCATCCTACAGCACAATGTCCAAAACCAGGTGAACTCCAAAGTCAGCACTGAGTTGCAACTAGTTGTAAACTGCTTGTAAACCCTGATGAGGCTGTTTTTATGAGGAAGATGTCCAAGAAAATAATCCATAAACCTGATAAAACTCCTCATATGTAGTTGAGTGAAGCTACTCACATCTTGTACTGGTCCTGAGCATCCCATGGTCATTTCCAGCTAATGGCCAACACAAGAATTGGAACCTCTGGGTTATGTTCAAGATCTCTTCCGAGCAGGGTGGCAAGTTTGTGGTAACTTTAAGTCTTTTGGAATTAAAAAATTTTTTTTTTTTCCCCAGATTGGATCTCTTCTGTTTCCCACTGAAATTACTATACACTGTCCTTTATTAAGGAAACATCAGGACCCAGCTGTGCAAGGATTGTATTTGATGAGCAAAGGTACAACAGTCCATAATTAAAAAGAACACATTCCTGCAGATGTGTTAATTTAGGAGGGGCTTTCAAACCTTCACTCGTAGAAATGCAAATTGTATACTCACTTTGGATGCCTGATGTCTGGAAGGGAACGATTCAGAGAAATTTTATCACTCACAAAGATATTAAAGCCATTTTCCCTGTATGCCTGGTCCACTCGCTCTGCATCAGTCATTGGGTAAGGTTTTCCCTGTTCTCCATTTCCTACAGATAGACAGAAAGTAAATACAGATCATTACTGCTAATTAGTGCTTAACAGGCCAGAAACTAATCCATATAGCAAAAAAGAACAGCATCTTATAGTCCTCTGAACATTCCTTTATTAGTTTTGTGCTCTGTGTCAACCATGTCAATTTAGCCATTTTACCTGATAAGCAGTTTTGCTACAAACCACTCAGCTGTGAAAATCATAGAAGTTAAAAGTCTTCCTTTTAACATTTTTCTTATTCTTCCTTTCTAGATCTCCCATTTTTGGGAGAGGAATATGTACTTTTTTTTTTTTTTGGGGGGGGGGGGTAGTTTCTTAGAAATCAATTTTCCACCTGTCATAAAACCACCAAGATTTAACTGATACATTTTCACCTCAAAATGGTTATTGTGGAATTGGGGGAAAAGGAATTGAATTTGGATTAGCACAGTTAAAAGATTAACAGATGAATTGGCTTTAATGCTGCATCRTGTCAAGAACATCACCTTGACCCTAAAGCTGAACATGTTGTTCTACACTCAGCCCACCAAATAAAATCAAACTAAGTTATAACCTGAATTAATACATATTTACAGCAATATCACATACCTACACGCTCAGAGTCCCTCCTTATGGCTTCCTTGTTGTGCCAGTCCTTTTTCCTTTGTCCATCAGCAAAGTAAGGGTCTTTCTTCAGCCTCAYGTATGATGCCTTTTAAACAAGAAGTTGGATTTGTAATAAATACACAACCATGAAACCTTTCCTTAGCTTCCTCCCCTTCCTGTAGGAGGAAATTAAACATCTCCCTTAAGGCAGGATCATCACAAGCAAGTGGTTTTTAGCCTGAAAGGGGTRAGGGAGGAAGTGAGTTTTGCCTGTCTCAGAACAGTACTTTATCTATGGCTGTTAAGTGATATTTTTCCAGGGCACCATCATGTATGCAGAACAGTATTTCTTAATCAGGGAATCTATTAAAAACTCCCATTTTCACTTTGAAAACATCCAATACATCTTACAGCCTTTTTGTTAATTAAATAGGATGTAATGAGAGACCTATTGCAGGATCATTATTAATGAGATGCTACTACACCTGAATAAAATCAAAATAAGATTTAAAAGGTCATTTGTGAAGACTCTTGCTGCTGAACCCAATTAGAGCTTCTATTTCATTAYGTTGCTCCTGAAATTCAAAAGCCACGCGTGCTTTGAAAACAAGTCAGGAAATGAAGATCSCCAGTAATCCAACATTTCCAGCTCACCTCTGACTGCACGGGCTGGAAACTCACAATTGCTGAGGAAAGAGGATTCATGAGAGGCAYTGCTAAAGCCTCACTGATTCACATAATGCAGGAAAAGTCAAGAGCAGCCCCAGAGCAGCAGAGCTGCTGATGAACCACACTCTTCTGTCAGGGAAGAGCTCACCATAACTCACCAAACATAAATATCAAACTGATTTGTTTAACCTGCCCTGTGATTTTCCAGCTGTCCCATTAAACACTACTGCTCATTCCTGCCTGGAGATAAAGCCACCCTTCTAATCATTCCCAGTACGAGCACACTGCTATTCTGGGAGAAATTTTTGCCTGTTTTGCAAGAACAATTCTTTGCCAGGCCAGCTCACTGACCACTCTCCTTGCCAGGATACTCCTCCACCAGGAAAAGTCCTGGAAAGCTCTCACAGACCAGAGCACCTCCTTGCCAGGAGAGTTTTGCCAACTTTCTGAGCACTAGGCTTGTGCACAAGAATCATACTGGGCACAGGAACAACTGGCAAGTCTGAAATCTCAATATTTTAAGTCTCTTTTGTCTCTTGTTTATAATGCTCTGGACTGAATGCACACTCCAGGGGAATTGCTGACAATGCCACTGYCCCTCCTGCCCTTTGCTGAGGTGAAAATCCCTTAAAGGCAGCTGCTCTGGAAACACCAACCATCCTGCAAAGGAGAGCATGGCCAGAGTGTCCAATTTGGACTGGATCCAAAAGGAAGAACAAGAGCACAACTCTGAACCTCACAGCACCCACTGCACACATGGGAACGCAGAACCCCACACCAAACCCCCACAAAGCGAGTGGGGAATTCAGGCACCCCAGAGAAAAAGGGGAAAACTGAGACCCACCAGCAAAAACACATCCAATCTCTCTAACAGGGCATTGCTAGGAGTCTTTAAAACCCCACTGCTTCTTGGGACCTGGGTGACCTAAATTAGAATTGCAGAGGCAGCTCCCCTCCCTCTGAACTCTGATCTGAAAACATCCCTTGGAAAACCCGTGTCCACTGCTGCAGATGTCCATGGGGATTGCTCTCTGAGCTGGTTTTGGCTGGGGTAGAGTTAATATTCTTCACAGGAGGTGGAATAGGGCTGTGATCTGGATTTGTGCTGGAAAGTGTTGATACAACAGGGATGTTTTCATTACAGGGCTTACCCAGAGTCAAGGTCTTTTTGTTTTGCCCTCAAAGGGGAAGCTGGCAGAGCATGGGGAATTGAGAGGGGACACAGCCAGGACAGATGACCCCAGCTGACCCCAGGAACATATCAAACCATGTGGGGTCACATAAAGCAGGGGTTGTTTGCAGTGATGGCATTTATCCCCCCTGCTTTCCTGGGAAGGCTGAACACCTTCCAGCCCACCTAAGCTGGGAATGGATTCCCTGCTTTGTTTTGCTCTGGGTGGTTTTTGCTTCACTTATTAAACTCTTTACCTCGACCCCTGAGTTTTCTCACTTCAGTTCTCACCCCCACCCCATGGAACAAAGCTGCCTGTGTCCCAGATGGCAGCACACATTCCTGCCAAAACACACCACTGGGATGGATCTGGAGCTGCCCCCCACAACAGCTCCCAGTAGACAGGAGAGGTTTAAAACACCCCCCAAAGGATTCACACCAACATCTCCAGAACCCTCTGAAGAAAGCCACGCTGGGCTGTTTCAGAAGGCATCTCTCACCTTTATACAGCTGTACTGCCAAAGCAGCCTAAAAGCCATAAAAAAGCAGTTGCAGCCATCCCTGCTCAGCGAGAGCACCCCCAGGCTCTGGGCTGGARTGATCCTTGTGTTTGTGTGCTCCGTGTAGGATAATGTGTACAGGGAAGTGAATTTTCTGCACAGCTTCAAGCCATTCTTCAGAGGGGTCAGCAGTGTGCATGTAAACATCCCCAGAGCGAGCTACAACCTAATGTAAGCAATTTAAACCCGGAGATAGAGGGAAAGCAGGCAGCAGCACACCATCCTCCAGGGCTGTTAAAACAAAGGGAAACAAAAAAAAAAAGGAAAAAAAAAATCACAGACTCTCAGTGTATTACACACAGTAGCAATCAGGCAGATGGACTGTGCAAAGTCAAGCACACAAATGTGTTACTTCCCTCAGTCCCAGATAAATTTACACACAAAAGCACCCGTGAGCTGGGTTAAGTTAACCCTGTCAAGGCCACACATGTTGGTAATTTGTAAACTTTAAATTAAGCAAGAGGGAAAGCCATGAAACACATACACCAGTTAATGAGACCTCTCTGGGGCTTCAGAGGTACAAGGAGTAAGAGTTATTGATCCTACAGTCCTGGGGAACAGGCTCTGTCCAGTCTCAGTCTTGGAGGATCAACAAGGATCAACACTTGCTCATGCTGSCATGGACAAAGTGAAATGAGAACTGTGCAGGGTGAGCCAGTATTAGGTGCTCATGGTGTTTCTGCCTTGTACAACTAACACCAAAAGAGGACAAACACAACATGAACCTCTTCTGGATCAACATAAACCTCCAAAGTCATGGCTTTTAGAATCCTGAAGGGTAGACACAACTCCAGGTCACGGCAGACATGCTGCATTCTGGAGTTTTCTTTGGTCATGGGCAGAGAATTTACCTTAGTTTATGCAACACTGGAATCCTCCATTATATTTAATTCACCTTGGGTAAATGTTAAGAGGTTAGAATATTTCTAACTGTATCCCTCGCAAGCAAACACACAATGCTTACACTGGTTTTGCRGGTTGCTATTAAAACACCCTAACTGAAAAGTCTGCTGTGAGTCACTGACAACTTCYGTCAACAGTGTCCAAACATTAATTTTGAAGAGACTTTCAGTGCTAGGAAAGGAATATCAGTGTCTTTGCCTCGGTGACTTTGCCAGCCCTCAGCATCCACACAGCCCTGGAGGGAAGGTGCAGCTGCAGCAGCCTGATCAGCATCGTATTTCTGGTTAAGAACCACACTCTCAAGACCAACCTCATTTCAGCAGGCTACCAAAAAGTGGGAATAAGAAAACATTTGCCTTGCCCCTCCTCGACTGCAGTTTTTATCTCRTGCCACCACTATCAGCAGAACTGTGTGTAAGGCTTGCGGGCACAATGCCACCACGGGCAGAGGGAAGATGTGCACATATGTCCTCAAAGTCCTCTCACTGGGAAAACGGGCAGCTTGCTGACATTGATGTGATCTTAAAAGCTCTTTTCCTTCTTTCTGACTTTTTTTTTTCCCCCTCTCTCTTTGTGAAAGATGTCTGAGCTCTAGAAATCCAGACACAGCATACAGGGACCAGAATGTTGCTTTTTTTAGTGGTTTCCTTCAGGGATGCTGCATGGGATTTRACTCAATTATGCAAATTACATAACTTGATGATACTCCTTCAACAAATGCTCTAGACTGTGATATCACAGSAATCTGCAAAACACAGCAAGTTTCCCAGGCCTGACTTTTGCTTTAACTCTTAAACAAGCATCTCATTTATGGGGAGCTATGTCATACATGTAATGCTGCATTTCATCTCAATTTCCACTCTTATCTAATTTCTCATTAATTCTAACTGCATCCTAGGAGGCAGAACATTTTTGTCCAAACCCTTCACCATACCCCTGCTGATGTACATTTTATCTGTGGAATGCATTAACCATTGTTGGAACATTGCAGCTGTCCATTCTGCATGGTTAGGGTAAACTGATGTTATGGAACCAGATTTCTGTCCCTATAAAAGAGGTCAGCAATTTTCATCTTTGCATTAGCTTCCCACTTTGCAAAAATACCATTTTTTTTAAATGGTCAATTGTAAACAACATGTAAAAAGCACATTTTAAAGCRTGAAGGGTTCATTATGATCATCTAGTCAGGCTGTGTAAGTGCAGCAGCCATTGAATTCCATCCATTAACTCCTACAACAAGCCCATAAGTTCTATTTCAGCTCCAGCACATTTTCTTTTACTTAAGAACTGGAAGTTGTTTACCACTAAGGAGTGATTACTTCTCCAGCAATATCTTAAACTGTTCTCCTGCCTGCTTCCAGCCTTCATTTTTTAAAAACGGAAAATGAACTAAAGTAGAAAGGCATATTAAGCAATACATTGAAAATGGATTTAGACAGATTGCTGTAAATAAGCCCCTTCTGTTGTCTACCACGCTGTTACTTAACGCGCCGCCAAAGCAATTGATCAGCGTTCAAACGCCAAATGCACAAAAATGGAATTTTAATTTTTTGTTTAATCACTATTTAGTGTGCCTGGCTCCAGCCAAAAAAAAAAAGTGTGGATGGAGACACAAGCCAAGAGTTTTCTACACMAGAGGAAAAAAGATTTGCTGAAGCATATACATTAACCATAATGCTGTACAGATCTCAAACCCTGTTCAAGCATTTGTTTGGCTGATTTATTATTTTCTTTCAAACCAAGGAGCTATGATCAGACCCATGACCTTYKRAGACAGTGTCAGAGGGAACATCTGYTCCAYC